GGTGGGGGAGCTGTGAAAAAAAGGTATCATGATTCTGGACATAGCCAGAGAGATGGCAAAAAGTTGAGATCCAGTAGCCTGAATGCAAGATACTTAACTCCCAGACCACATAGGGCACATGTGTTAGGGTGCAAACAGTGCACACAGCTCAGTGCTGGAGCACATATGCCAAGAAACTGGAGAATTTAACAGATTGTAAGGCCTGGAAAAGGTGAATCTGTTTGGGGAAAAAGAGGACAGAGACACTAGGATGAGTGTAAGAGCCTTACCCAGTGAGCTTGCAAGTACAAAGTTCTGCAGCATCACACCGAGGTACAAAAGCCTCTGAGCCTCATCAAGTAGTCTCCATTCTTCCTGTGAGAAGTAAATGGCCACGTCCTCAAAGGTCACACAGTCCTGCCATAATGGGGAAAGGTCACTCCACAATAAACTTCTCCTCTAGAATTCCAACTTCATGCACTTGCTTGTCCATCCTGTTTGCCCTTCTTCCTACATTCCTATTTCAGAGGAATACCACATCCCAGTGCCTCTGAAGCTCACTGTCGTGGTCCCAGTATCACTGTGTCCTCCCATAGCCATCAGGAAGGTGGGCAGGAAGATACCATCTTCACTGTGGACTTGGCATATAATGCGGTCTCCCCTTCTCTTAGATCATTCCTCAGTGGTCCTCCAGATGGTGCCTCCAGAAACACGCAGCCTAGGAGCCTGCCGGAAGGCCTGGCTGTCTGATTCTGCTCCTTGCTTCAATCTCAGCTACCCAGGATCACTTAAGGATTTCAAACAACTCTCGTCCTCTATCTCTACTGATTTTGATGTCCACTTACCAGTCACAGCTTTCCTTTTACTCTTAACCCTCAAACTCAGTGACCAAAGTATCTCAGAGCCTCAATGACATTCTACCCCAGACCCAGTGACACTCACAGATGATCAGCCCCCAAACTTAGCTATCTGCTTAAGTGGACAATCCTGGTGAGCCTGTAGCATGGTGAATGAGCACTAGACTGAGGATCTTCAATTGTGCTGCTGTAACAAAACACTACTACTCATTGGGTAGCTTATTAACAACAGGAATCTCTCACAGATCTGGAGGCTGAATTCAGGGTGCTATCATGGTTAGGTTCTGGTGAGAGTGCTCTTTCAGGCTGTAGACTGCTGACTTCCCCTTGTATCTCCACATAGTGAAAAGAGCACTAGCTATTCTCTGACCTCTTCTTAAAAGGGCATTCACTAATACCAGACACAAGGACTCCATCCTCATGATTTAATTACCTCTCACAGGCCTCAGCTCTGGGATTAAGATTAGGTCCCTCTGGGATTAGAATTTCAATGTATGAAATTTGGAGGGGAAGAAAAATTCAGTCATGGCCTTGGTGTCATCTTCTAATTATTCCTGTTTCTGTGACCATTCTATCTCCCTTATGCCTTAGAAGCCTTAGCCACCTACCAGATAATCTATTTTGTCATGCCCTTCCATGGTCAATTCTCTCTCCACATCTGTTTATGATGCTTACCATGTCTACTCAGGTGTCCAAGTACAAGACCCAGGCACAGCTCCATTTTCCCTTACCTGGGCTGTGGACAGCACTACCATTATGACAAATATAATTCCTCCTAGTTATGGGTCAAACACTAACTATATCTTTTAGATGTCTCCATCTTAAACCATTCCCCAAATTTCAAACCAATGTGGCCAGAACTTGATGTCTCTACTAATTGTTAATCCAACATCTTAGATGTAAGTACCTAAAAACCAAAATTCTGATATCCCCAGTGAAATAAACCTTACTGGTAACTTTACGGTCTAGCTGATGGAGTTTCCATTCTTCCAGATACTAAATCCAAAAAGCCCGAAGTAAGGCCTCAATAGTACCTTTCTCTCTCCCCCTCTCTCATCCTCAAAATCTGAAAATCCAGGCAGGCCTAATTAAGAAAATGAATCCAGAATCCTACCACTTCTCTTACCTCCACAGTAGCCTCACTGGTTCAAGCCACTAACAGCACTTACCTAGAGTATTATGGTAGTGTCTTCCCTGGCCTTCCTATTGTGTCCCTCATACTGACCGAG